TTCCTCTTCCTCTTCTTCCTCTCCTCCTCCTCCTCCTCCTCCTCCTCCTCCTCTTCTTCTTCTTCTTCTTCTTCTTCTTCTTCTTCTTCTTCTTCTTCTTCTTCTTCTTCCTCCTCCTCTTCCTCTTCTTCTTTTTCTTTTTCTTCTTCCTCTTCCTCCTTCTCTCTTCCTCCTCCTCCTCTTCTTCTTCCTCCTCCTCCTCCTCCTTTCCACAAACTCCACTTCCTTCTAGCACTGATGATGTTCCCTAGTTGGGTCATGAAACGTCTGCAAGAAAACCAGCAAGCTCAGAGAGCACCAAGGACCCCACCGTTCAAACCCTGAGACACAAGCATTGTCTTCCAACTCTTTTCCATTTTTGACTGTCGTAACCTCTTCACCACTTTTCTTTTTGTCTGGGTAGGAGGGATGCTGTTCACAGCCACGGTGACGGACTTCCTGGCCATTGACGCTGTGATTTACCGCAGCCTGGGAGACAGCCCGACCCTGCGCACGGTGAAGCATGACTCCAAATGGTTTAAAGGTAAGGAACGTGGGACCCAAATGGTTTTGCGGTTGCGGAGTGTGAAAATGAGAGGCACAACCTCTTTCCCAAGAATTTCCTTCCGTAATTGGCATCCCTTGAAAAAAGAGAAAGAGAAAGAGAAAAAGATAGTGCTGGAAACCTTTGGATAATATTCTATTCTATTCTATTCTATTCTATTCTATTCTATTCTATTCTATTCTATTCTATTCTATTCTATTCTATTCTATTCTATTCTATTCTCTATTCTATTCTTCATTCCAGTATTGTATGCTATTCTATTCTATTCTATTCTATTCTATTCTATTCTATTCTATTCTATTCTATTCTATTCTATTCTATTCTATTCTTCATTCCAATATTTTGTTCTGTTCTGTTCTATTCTATATTCACAACCATTATCCAGAATGGCATAGGGCAGTGATGGCTAACCTTTTTGCCATTGTGTGCCAAAAGCGGGGGGAGCATGGTGTGTGTGTGTGTGTGCGTGTGCCCACACCCATAATTCCATGCCTCTGACGCATGCGCCCATGACCCCCCCACTTTTGGCACACGGTAGGCACGGTAGGCCCATTTTTTGCTCTCCCCAGGCTCCAGAGCCTCTCTAGGAGCCTGGGGAGGGCAAAAACAGCCTTCCCCACCCTGCCAGAGGCCCTCATGAGGCCGGAAATGGCCCATTTGCCAACTTCTGGTGGGACCGGAAGGCTCATTTGTTGCTCTCCCCAAGCTCCAGAGCCTCTCTAGGAGCCTGGGGAGGGCAAAAACGGTCTTCCCCACCCCCACAGAGGCCCTGTGGAGGCCGGAAATGGCCTATTTGCCGATATCCGGTCTCACCGGAGCTGAGCTCGCGTGCCCACTGATATGGTTCCGCGTGCCACCTGTGGCACGCATGCCATAGGTTCGCCATCACAGGCATAAGGTCTCCTGCCTGAGCAGGGGGTTGGACTAGAAGACCTCAAAGGTCCCTTCTACTGTTATTCTCTATTGTTCTGCCTCTGGAAGGCATCAGGTTGATAAAAACTGCAATGAGGGAGCTGGCAAATTAACTCCCCACCTCCAAAAATAAAAAATCACTTCCCTAATAAAGTGACTTAATCGATAGAGGAGACTTCAAGGCACTTAAATTTGAGCAGGGAATTATTTCATCTCGTATATTTCTGCACCACAGCTTCGTGGAGAGTTCGCAAACCGGTTAAAAGAATGAAATACGCCATGCCAGGGCTGCAAAATAAAATGGCATATAAACTAAAAGCGGGAAAAGATAATCTAAAACTTTACGAGCCGGATTTCAAGTGCCTGAATGAATAAAAAGATGAGTTTTTTAACTGTCGAAGTTTAAAAAAATAAATAAATAATCCTTGGCGTTTTTGCTCTCTATTGCGATATTTATGCTCCCAGAACAGAATGTGAGCATCCTTGAGAAGGCAAGATATTTTTTTTTATTAGGAAACCCTGGAAAATGTCATAAAACTAGAGGCAAGAAGTACAGAGATTAATATTTTATTAATTTATTCCCAGTCTTGCACCATTCAGTAAATATACATGTACGAAGCTAATTGGAGCCTTAGCTACTATTCCTTCCAGTCAGTCAATTAAAAGATTCTGGAATAATTTTAAAGGTTGCCTTGGAGTGTGTATGTGTATGTGTGTGTGTTTGTGCACATTTGCGTGCCTATGCGTGTTTAAAATTATAAAACTGACAAAATAAATATCAGGGACAAATTGTGGAGGCCGGGAGTCATGAGCGAAAAAAATGGAATAGAATGGAATGGAATGGAATGGAATGGAATAGAATAGAATAGAATAGAATAGAATAATAGAATAGAATAGAATAGAATAGAATAGAAAACATGGAATGGAATGGAATGGAATAGAATAGAATAGAAATAGAATAGAATAGAATAGAATAGAATAGAATAGAATAGAATAGAATAGAATAGAATAGAATATAGAATGGAGTGCAGTGCAGTGGAGTAGAGTAGAGCTGGAAGGGATCTTGGAGATCTTCTAGTCTAACCCTCTGCAAAAGAGGAGACCCTTTTTTTCCTCGGGTGCTATCGCATGCGTGCACGTGCCCACACCTATAATGCAATGCCCCCCATGCATGCCCCACCTCCCCCCTGCGCACGCAACCCCCCCACACACACACTGCACTGACCCCCTGCACAAACACACACACCCCTCATTCCCACACCGCCCTACGCATGCACGCGCGATCCCCCCCGCACCCCATTTTGGGCCTAGCAGGCCTCCCTGAAGCCTCCAGAGGTGGAAATGGTCCGTTTCCAGACTTCCGGTAGGCCCATTTTTCCCCCACCCGATGCTCCGGAGGCTTTCCTGGAACCTCCAGGAGGATGAAAACGGCCTCCCCTGGCCCTCCGGAGGCCGGAAATGAGTATCATAGGTGCCATAAGTTCGCCATCATGGCCCTATACCTTTTCAGACAGGTGGCTGTCCAGTCTCTTCTTAAAAACCTCCAGTGATGGCGCACCCACAATTTCTGGTTATTATTTTAAGGCCAATCGAGCCACTATCACAAAAAAAATCAAACTGATAATAAACACTGAGCTGCAATAATTCAATGATATATAATTTTAATATTCCTTCTGCAAAGCTCTGTAACTAAAGAGTCTAAATAAAAAATAATTCACTCTTGATCGAAATAAAATTAATTCAGCCTGGATTACAACCTGGAACATTCTTCCTCATTCTGAAATTCCACTTAGGTGGGGAGTAATTAACCCATTCTTTGCTGGCATTTGTGCACCCACAATTTCTGGTGGCAAGCTGTCCCACTGGTGAATTGTCCTCACTGTCAGGAAGTTCCTCCTTAATTCCAGGTTGTTTCTCTCCTTGATTAGTTTTCCATCCATTGCTTCTTGTCCTGCCTTCAGGCGCTTTGGAGAATAAATTGACCCCCCCCCTCTTCTTTGGGGCAGCCCCTCAAATATTGGAAGACTGCTCTCATGTCCCCCCTAGTCCTCCTTTTCTCTAGCCTCGCCAAACCCAATCCCTGCAACCGTCCTTTGTATGTTTTAGTCTTCAGGCCTTTAATCATCTGCACTTTTCCCGAAGTCCATCTGTCTATCAAATTCTCCCAGCTTCCTTCCTTCCTTCGTAGCGGGCCCTAAGACTGGCGGCTATTCGCTCTCATTTATTTAGGAGATAAACAGCATCTGAACTTAATCACAGCCGCAGGAATCGCTAGCTGGTTGGGGTTTTTTTTTTTTTGCAAGATTGTCCGTAAATGGGCACGCCGCCTTCACAAAGCAGGCGACTCGTGCATGCCCATTCATTTCTGCACAATTGGGTACATTCATGTGCTAATTGATGCCCTCGGTCACCGACTCCCGTCCTATCAATTAAGTTTTTTTTTTTTTTAATGCCTTCATGATCATATGCGAGAGAGAAAAAAGACCTTGGAAATATTGTCAAGCTCAGGCGGCGGATGAGTCAGCTGGGTGATGTGGTTGCAAGCGGGGGAATAAAAGGAAAACAGAGAGGAAGCAATGTTTGATTTGACATCGGAAGATGTTTTTTAACCGGAGGGTAATTGTGTTTTCATGTTGATGAGACCCCGCAGATCAGGTCTCGTTCGTGAGAATTGTAGTCAAGGACCAGAGGGAGGATCAAAAGAGCAAACATCAGGTCCCAGGAAGGATTTGCGGACTTTTAGCCTTGAGAAAAGACAAGGGAGGAGACCCTTCAAAAAAAAAACCCCAAGTCTGTTATTCCCCATTATTATTCCAGAATCTTATTCCAGGAGGAGCCCTTGAGAGCTGTATACAACAAAATTGCATTTTAATGAATGCGGATCAGAGGTGGTATTAATCATAATCGACGAGGTGCTCCCATGTGACACCTCTCCTGTGCGAGCTGCACTGGCTCCCGGTGGTCTTCCGGGTGCGCTTCAAGGTGTTGGTGACCACCTTTAAAGCGCTCCATGGCTTAGGGCCGGGGTACTTACGAGACCGCCTTCTGCCACCAATAGCCTCCCACCGGCCAGTACGCTCGCACAGAGTGGGCCTCCTCAGGGTGCCGTCCGCCAGACAATGTCTGCTGGCGACCCCCAGGGGGAGGGCCTTCTCTGTGGCGGCACCCACCCTCTGGAACAACCTCCCCCCAGAGATACGTACAATAACAGACCTCCGGATTTTTCGTCGGGCCCTGAAAACCTATTTATTTCAACTAGCTGGGCTGGCTTGAGTTAAATTTTAAATTGATTTTAAATTGGGTTGTTTTAATTTACAGCCAAAATATTTAATTATTTTAAACTGTTTTTAAATTTTGTATGTTCTGTTTTTTACTTTGGCTGTTCACCGCCCTGAGTCCTGTTTGGAGAAGGGCGGTATAGAAACAAATAAATAAATGGAAACAAATAAATAAATAAATAAAAAATAATCATAAGTTTATTTGTCGAGCATATATAACAGATAAAAGTATAAACATAATTTGAATAAATGAAAAGAGTAAGAGTAAAAAGGAATATTAGGACAGGGACGGTAGGCAGCTGGTGCACTTATGCACGCCCCTTACAGACTTCTTAGGAATGGGGTGAGGTCAGGGGTGAAATGCTCCCGGTTCGGACCGGATCGCCTGATCCGGTAGCGATGACAGCGGGTGGTTCAGAGAACCGGTAGCAAAAATCCCTGTCCCACCCCATTGCCCAGCTGAACCGCACGATCATCAAAAGACTTTTTTTTTTAACTTTTAAAAGCATTTTTTCTACAACCTCATTAGCTGAAAAAAATGCTTTTAAAGGTTTAAAAAAAAAAGCCTCTGATGATCGTGCAGCTCAGCTGGGATCATCAGAGGCTTTTAAAAGCATTGTTTTCGGCAACCTCTTAAGGTTTTTACTTTTAAAAGTAAAAAAAAATGGCCACACCCACCCAGTCACATTACCCCCCTCCCCCACCAAGCCACGCCCACAGAACCGGTAGTAACAAATTTTACATTTCACCCCTGGGTGAGGTCAACAGTAGACAGTTTAAGGTTAAAGTTTTGGGGGTTTGGGGAAGAAACTACAGAGTCAGGTAGTGCATTCCAGGCATTGACCACTCTGTTACTGAATTGACGAGGTGCGTGTGAGCGATGCAACCATGCGAGCATTTGCGAACCGGTAGGGAAGGTAAGCACATACCACCCCGATGCCGATTAGTGTAGATTCAAAGTGACAATCAAGTTATTCTAAATTAGGGCTATCGAAGTCAAGGCCCGGAGGCCGGATCAGACCCATGGGGTGCTTAAATCTGGCCTGCAGAGCCACCCTGGAAACCGCGGAGGACCCGCCCACGGTCCCTCTGCCTGCGAGCTCCATTTTCACTGGCAGAGGGTTGCAGGAGGCCATTGCAGCCAAAAACGGAGCTTGCGAGGGCCACCTGCGGCTCTCCCGAGCTTCGTTTTTGTTGGCAGAGGGTTGCAGGAGGCCGTCGCAGCCAAAAAAACGAAACTGGGGAGCCTGTTTTCTCTGGCAGAGCGCTCGGGCTGCCACAGGCACCCCTGAGATGAGTGACGACGAGTTGGCCACTCCCACCCTGGCCCTGTCCACCGCCCCAAGGTCAAACGCAACCCTGATGCGGCCCTCAATGAAATTGAGTTTGACACTCCTGTTCTAAGTAGGACATGGAATAACAGATTTTGGAAGAGACTCAAGATCCTGCTCCTTGATGTCTTCTCTCTTTCTTTCCTCACCCTGTCTAGAACCCTACTTTGTCCACACTGTGGAGTGGAAGAACCACGTCTACTTCTTCTTCAGAGAGATCGCGATGGAATTCAACTACTTGGAGAAGGTGAGTCCAGCCGCATGGTCCATCAGACCAGACCTAACTTCGTGTTGTCCTCAAGAACTAATGGGTGGCTGAGCCTCTGAGTCACCATAGACTCAGGGTTTCCCATCTTGACAACTTTAAGACACATGGACTTCAATTGTCTGGCTGGGGAATTCTGGGAGTTGAAGTCCACGTGACTTAAAATGAGCAAAGTTGGGAAACCATTTTTGGGCACGACAGCCTCCTGCAGCCCTCTGCCAGCAAAAACAGAGCAGAGGACTGCAGGAGGCCGTCACAGCTGAAAACGGGGCCCGGGGCTCCGTTTTCCCTGGCAGAGGGGCTAGTAAAACAAACTAAAAACAAAAGAAAAGGAGAAACGTTTCCCCTTTTACATTTGAGCATGCAAGAAGGGACAGGAAAGGAGAAAGGGAAAGAGGAAAGACCAAGAAAAAGAAGGAAAGATGGAAAGAGAGCAAGGAAGGAAAAAATAAGGAAAAAGGGGAAGGAAGAAGAAAGGAGAATGAAGAGGGAAGGAAAAAAGAAGAAGGAAGGAAGGAAGGAAGGAAGGAAGGAAGGAAGGAAGGAAGGAAGGAAGGTTATAATGAGAGGGAGGGTGGGCCTGAGGGAAGTCCTGCCTTAGCACTTGGTCACCACAGGTGCCCCCAACAGGTGTGACGCAGAGGTGGGTTTCAGCAGGTTCTGACCAGTTCTGGAGAACCGATAGTGGAAATTTTGAGTAGTTCGGAGAACCGGTAAATACCACCTCTGACTGGCCCCGCTCCATCTATTCTCTGCCTCCCCAGTCCCAGCTGATCGGGAGGAAATGGGGATTTTGCAGTAACCTTTCCCTGGAGTGTGGTGGGAATGGAGATTTTACAGTATCCTCCCCCTGCCACGCCCACCAAGCCATACCCACCAAGCCAAGCCACGCCCACCAAGCCACACCATGCCCACCAAGCCACACCCACAGCACCAGTAGTAAAAAAATTTGAAACCCACCACTGGCGTGACATCGAACTAACCACAACCACCCTGGCACCACCCCCGAGGTCAAATACTACCCTGATGCGACCCTCAATGAAATCTAGTTTGACATTCCTGATATAGGGTCTCCTACTTGAGCAGGGGGTTGGACTAGAAGACCTCCAAGGTCCCTTCCTGCTCTATTCTGATTGATTGATTGATTGATTGATTGATTGATTGATTGATTGATTACTGTGATGCTCCTGGACTTTGTGAGGACATAAAAAGAAGCAATTGGAGATAGTAATGCCACGTTTACAATTTTGTACAGCTTTCAAATTATTTCTCGAGAGCATATGAGGGAATTTGCTCTGTACCGAAAAAAACTGAATTTCCATCTTTACGATCATTGTCAAATCTTTTATTTACCGATCTTTTGTTCTTTGTCGACTATACCTCTTTGTCTTTTTATTGTAGCTGTATTTATTCCGTTTCTTCAAACGTTTTAATAAATAAACCATTTCAGAAGAAGGTAGCTTATTCGCTGGGGAGGCATCACTTTAGATTGCAACCGAGTATATTATAATATAAAGCAATATGTTATTCTGTCGTATCAAAGATTTCATTGCATCGTGTTCTATATTATGTCATTCTATCATGTTCCCTATTATAGCAATGGGGTAATGAAACTAAAAACGAAATGTTTGATTTCATGCATTGCAAATCTTATCCAAACTCGTAAATCAGCAGGGAATCTAACACAAATATTACATGTATCTAAAAACCGAGCGTCTCTTTCAGGGGTGGGTTCTAACATTTTTTACTACCGGTTCTGTGGGCGTGGCTTATTTTGTGGGCGTGGCTTGATAGTCATGTGACAGTGGGCGTGGCTTGATGGTCATGTGACTGGGTAGGCGTGGTCAACTCAATGTCACTCATGTCAAGGGGAGTCATAGTTTTTTGACCACGCCCCTTGTTCCTTCCTCTCAGGCCCAGTTTTGACTCAGTCGGCCTGAGAGAAACATCTCTAGCAGATCTGGCTTTCAGCCATTGTCTGTTCGATTACCTCAGAGTCACTGTGAGTTTTTTGACCAAACAATTCTTTAGGATTTAGCAGAGGTACTGGTCTACCAGGCTTTTAACTGCTTGCAGAGCCGTACTGATCGACCCATTTGTTTTTGGAGCACGCTGGTCTACCACCACACTGCCTTTTACCATTGATCAGCTGTAGGGGAGCCCTTTGAAGCACCACGGCAAGAGTTTAAACAGTTTTTTGCCACTCTGCTACCACTGAGAGCATCGGAAACCGCTTTCAGGCAGCTTGGCCTCAATTGCCAATCTACCATCACCGAGCGGTTTACAAGGAGCAGATTAGTTCTAGCCAATCAGTTGGGAGGCTTCTTGGCTTCTCAATTTAAAGCGACAGTGTCTTATTTTTTTTTCTCTTCTTTGTCAAGTGAGCCCTGATTTTTTCCTTCTAGCCAATCAGCTGGGACTCGGGAGGCAGCAAATAGATTGTGGGCGGGGCCAGGCAGAGGTGGTATTTACCGGTTCTCCGAACTACTCAAAATTTCCACTACCACTTCGGCCAGGCCCATCCAATCTTGGTGTGCCCGCATGCGCAGAGGAGGCAACAGGCACACATGCGCACTGGAGGTGGTCAGCGCATGCCCACACAGGCCCAGCCCAGGCTATCCTGGTGTGTGCGAGTGCGCCCGCCTCCTGTGCCTTCAGGGATGGCATTGGCCTGATGCGGCTGCGGTCGCAGCCGGGTCAGGCCAGTGACTCAGGGCGGAGAGCAGGTTGCACACAGGGGTGAAATCCAGCAGGTTCTGACGGGTTCTGGCAAACTGGTAGCAGAAATTTTGAATAGTTCGGAGAACCGGTAGCGGAAATTTTGAGTAGTTCGGAGAACCGGCAAATACCACCTCTGGCTGGCCCCAGAGTGGGGAGGGAATGGAGATTTTGCACTATCCTTCCCCTGCCATGCCCACCAAGCCACACCATGCCCACCAAGCCACGCTCACAGAACCGGTAGTAAAAAAAAATTGGATTTCACCACTGGTTGCGCGTCTCCTCAAGCAACCGAGGCACGCCCAGCACCAACAAGGGCCAGAAAAAGCTCCAAAGAGTGAGACGCCGGAAAATCAGCCCCGGCCGCTTCTCCATCCCCCACTGTCACCCTTACCTTCTCAGGCTAGGCGAGGAGTGATGGGACAGGGAGCTGCAGCAGAGGGCTCAAAGAGCCGCATGCGGCTCCAGAGCCACAGGTTGCCAACACCCAGCCTGGGCGAAGCGATGTGGGCTGGCCCCTTATCATTTCCAGGACGGTCACATGGGCTGGATTTGGCCCACGGGCCTTGAGTTTGATACCCCTGCTATATACTAACCAGTGGTTTACCAAGGTGTCACACTCATCCTGGTCGCCTGGTGATCGCCTAAATATGTCCCTGCAATTTTCTTGGCAAATTTTCAAAAATAAGTTGCCATTACTCCCTTCCTAGGGCTGAGAGAGAGAGTGATCGGTCCAGGTTCCCTCGATTTGGTGCCCAAGGTAGAATTAGAACTCAGACCCTCCTTGGTTCTAACCCGATTCCTTTAACCGTTAGGCCAAAGAACCCGCAGTTTTCCAAACTTAAGCCACTCGCGAATGATGAAAAATCATTTCTGAGAAGGTGCCAGGGGTTCAGCCGTGCTGCATTTTTATTCTAATAATAACATCAAATAAACATTTTGAGTGACAGCCGCTTTTATGCCACTTCATGCCTTCATCTGCTCAAAGTTAACGCAGCTGCCAAAAAAAAAAAAAAAAGCCAATGCAGTCCTAGGTTGCAGCAGCAGAGAGATAGTATCAACATCACCAGAAACGTTAGTATCGCCATATACAGCACACCTGGGACCACACCAGGGGTGAAATGCTCCCGGTTCGGACCGGCTCGGGCGAGTAGGTAGCGATGGCAGCGGGCAGTTCAGAGAACCGGTAGCAAAAATCCTTGCCCCCGCCCCCCCTCAGCTTGCTTACCTTAGCTGCTGGTCGCAACGCCTTGCTGTAATCCTGCAATCCATTGCATCAGCAAGCAACTGAATCTCCCTGCCTGCAATCAAGCAGGCAGGGAGTTGTGGACTTCAACTCCCAGAATTCCTCAGCCAGCAAAAGCTGGTTGAGGAATTCTGGGAGTTGAAGTCTACAAGTCTTAAAGTTGCCAAGGTTGGAGACCCCTGTTCTATTGGGTAAGTTTTTTTTTCCTCCTTTGGGAGCTTTAAAAAAATAGTTAATTGGGGTTTTTTTTAGTTGTTCTTTTTTTAGACCTAGCCATTTAAAGTTTAGGAAGTTTTAAATTTAGCTGCTTTTATATAAAAATTAAAATAAATTAAAATAAAATAATATTTGTGCAGCTTTCTGAGAGTTAGTGTGTTTCTGTAGTGTTTTACTCTAACTACACAAACACACAAAATCTCACAAAGCTGTATGTGGAATTTTGTGTGTGTAAAGTGTGAAAGTTGTTTTTTTGGGCTTTTTGTGGCTGTGTGAGGTCCCTGCTTGTTGCAGGGGCCATTTTGAGTCTAGCACAGCTGCTTTTATATTGTGGGTGAGCCAGTTGTGTTGTGTTGTGTTGTGTGTGTGTAAAATGTGAAAGTTGTTTTTTGGGGGGGCTTTTTGTGGCTGTGTGAGGTTCCTGCTTGTTGCAGGGGCCATTTTGAGTCTAGCACAGCTGCTTTTATATTGTGGGTGAGCCAGTTGTGTTGTGTTGTGTTGTGTTGTGTAGGTTAAAAAAGGGCAAAGAAGTGACATTGACTTGGCCACGCCCACCTGACCAACAAGCCACGCCCTCCCAGTCACCTTACCACCAAGCCACGCCCACTAATTAAGCCACGCCCACAGAACCAGTAGCAAAAAAATTAGATTTCACCCCTGGATCACATCTGGAATCCTGCATCCAGTTTTAGTCACCACAATACAAAAAGATGTGGAGACTCTAGAAAACATGCAGAGAAGAGCAACCAAGTGGATTAGGGGACTGGAGGCTGAAACATAGGATGAACAGTTAAGGCAATTATGTATACCTGGTTTAACAAAGAGAAGGACTAGGGGGGACATGATAGCAGTCTTCCAATATTTGAGGGGCTGCCCCACAGAAGAGGGGGGTCAACCTGTTCTCCAAAGCACCTGAAGGCAGGACAAGAAACAATGGATGTAAATTAATCAAGGAGAGAAGCAACCTGGAACTTAAGGAAGAGTACCTATAGAATATAAGGGGAAACCTTCATTAATTCTAAGGAGGAACCTTAGAATTTAAGGAGAAATTTCCTGCGAATGAGAATAATTAACCTGTGGAACGGCTTGCCTCCAGAAGTTGTGGGTGCCCCATCACTGGAGGTTTTTAAGGAGAGATGGGACAACCATTTGTCCGGAATGCTATAGGGCAGTGATGGCTAACCTTTTTGCCATGGCATGCCAAAAGTGGGGGGGAGCTCAGGGGGTTTGCGCCTGTGCGTGCCCACATCCATAATTCAATGCCCCCTGCCCCCTCACATATTTGTGTGACCCCCCCCCGCACTCCCCCACTTTTGGCACAGTGAGCCTGGTAGGCCCATTTTTCTCGCCCTCCCCAGGCTCCAGAGGCTTTCTAGGAGCCTGGGGAGGGTAAAAACTGCCTTCCCCACCCCCCTCAAAGCCCTCAGGAGGCTGGAAACAGCCCGTTTCCTGACTTCCATTGGGCCCGGAAGGGCCGAAAATGAGGTGGCCGGCACACGCACGCGTGCTGGAGCTGTGCTAGGGCAACGCTCGCGTGCCCACAAATATGGCTACGCGTGCCACCTGTGGCACGCGTGCCATAGGTTCGTCATCACGGCTATAGGGTTTGCTGTTTGAATAGAGGGTTAGACTTTAAGATGTCCAAGGCCCCTTCCAACTCTGTTATTCTATATTTATATTGTCTGTCTGTCTACAATCTGTTTATCATCTGCCTATCTGTATCTGTCTGTCTGTCTGTCTGTCTGTCTATTTATATCTATCTATCTATATCTATTCATCATCTATTTCTCATCTGTCTATCTGTATGTCTTTCTGTCTATCTATCTATAATGTCTATCTATCCGTCATGTCTGTCTGTCTGTCTGTCTGTGTCTATCTCTCTGTCTCTATCTATCTATCATCTATATATATATATCTCATCTCTCTATTTCTCATCTGTCTTTCTATCTGTACCTGTCTTTGTATCCATCCATCATGTCTGTCTGTCTATCTCTCACTCTCTCTTTATCATCTACAGTATATCCATCATCTCTCTGTTTATCATCTGCCTATCTCTCTCTGTCTTTCTGTCTATCTATCATCTATCTATCTATCTATCTATCTATCTATCTATCTATCTGTCTATATCTATTCATCTATTTATCATCTGTCTATCTGTATCTATATGCCTTTCTGTCTATCTATAATATCTATCTATCATGACTGTCTGTCTGTCTATCATCTATCATCTATCTATCTATCTATATCTATTCATTTATTTATCATCTATCTGTCTGTCTGTCTATCTATCTATCATATATATATATATATATCCATCATCTCTCTATTTCTCATCTGTCTATCTGTACCTGTCTATCTATCTATCCATCCATCTATCATCTGTCTGTCTGTCTCTCACTCTCTCTCTATCATCTACAGTATATAGGGAGAAGGGCGGTATACAAATTTAACAATAAAATAAATAAATAAATATCCATCATCTCTCTGTTTATCATCTGCCTATCTCTCTCTGTCTTTCTGTCTATCTATCATCTATCTATCATCTATCTATCTATCTATCTATCTATCTATCTATCTATCTATATCTATTCATCTATTTATCATCTGTCTATATGTATCTATCTGTCTAGCTATAATATCTATCTATCATGACTGTCTGTCTGTCTGTCTGTCTGTCTGTGTCTGTCTATCTATCTATCTATCTATCTATCTATCTATCTATCTATCTATCCATCCATCCGACCAAGCAAAGCCCAGGGCAGATGCGAAGAAGATATTATTCCCTCCTGTTCTTTGCCCAAATGAGACAGAATCCCAGAGAAATTCAGCTTCTCTCCTCCTCCTTCTCCCCCGCGTAGATGGTAGTTTCCAGAGTGGCTCGAGTTTGCAAGAACGACATGGGGGGATCTCAGCGGGTCTTGGAGAAACAGTGGACGTCCTTCCTCAAGGCTCGTCTGAATTGCTCCGTCCCAGGAGACTCTCACTTCTACTTCAACGTCATCCAGTCGGTCACGGACATTTTGGAGATCGAGGGGAGGCCAATGGTGCTGGCCGTCTTCTCCACACCCACCAACAGGTGAGCTGGGATGATTAAAGGTGGGCATGCATAAAACGAGGGGTCTCCAAATTGGCAACTTTAAGACTTGTGGACTTTAACTCCCAGAATTCCCCAGAGAGTCCCACTATTTATATGTAAACTAATCTAGTGAAAAGAAGGACTAAGGGTGACATGAAAGCAGTCTTCCAATATCTCAGGGGCTATTCTCCAAAGCCCCCGAGGGCAGGGCAAGAAGCAATGGATGGAAACTCATCAAGGAAAGAAGCAACCTGGAATTTAGGAGAAACTTCCTGACAGTGAGGACAATTAATCAGTGGAACGGCTGGCCTCCAGAAGTTGTGGGTGCTTCATCACTGGAGGCTTTTTACAAGAGATTGGACAGAAATAGAATACAATATTGGAATGAAGAATCGAATAGAGAATAAGGATAGAATAGAAAGAATAGAATAGAATAGAGTAGAATAGAATAGCATAGCATAGCATACAATACTGGAATGAAGAATAGAATAGAGAATAAAAGAATAGAATAGAATAGAATAGAATAGAATAGAATAGAATAGAATAGAATAGAATAGAATAGAATAGAATACTGGAATGAAGAATGGAAATAGGAATAGAATAGAATAGAATAGAATAGAATAGAATAGAATACTGGAATGAAGAATGGAAATAGGAATAGAATAGAATAGAATAGAATAGAATAGAATAGAATAGAGTAGAATAGAATAGCATAGCATAGCATAGCATACAATACTGGAATGAAGAATAGAATAGAGAATAAAAGAATAGAATAGAATAGAATAGAATAGAATAGAATAGAATAGAATAGAATAGAATACTGGAATGAAAATGGAAATAGAATAGAATAGAATAGAATAGAATAGAATAGAATAGAATAGAATAGAAAGAATAGAATAGAATAGAATTAGAATACTGGAATGAAGAATGGAAAATAGAATAGAATAGAATAGAATAGAATAGAATAGAATAGAATAGAATAGAATAGAATAGAATAGAATAGAATAGAATACTGGAATGAAGAATGGAAATAGGAATAGAATAGAATAGAATAGAATAGAATAGAATAGAATAGAATAAATAGAATAGATAGAATACTGGAATGAAGAATGGAAATAGGAATAGAATAGAATAGAATAGAATAGAATAGAATAGAATAGAATAGAATAGAATAGAATAGAATAGAATACTGGAATGAAGAATGGAATAGGAATAGAATAGAATAGAATAGAATAGAATAGAATAGAATAGAATAGAATACTGAATAAGAATGGAAATAGGAATATAATAGAATAGAATAGAATAGAATAGAATAGAATAGAATAGAATACTGGAATGAAGAATGGAAATAGGAATAGAATAGAATAGAATAGAATAGAATAGAATAGAATAGAATACTGGAATGAAGAATGGAAATAGGAATAGAATAGAATAGAATAGAATAGAATAGAATAGAATAGAATAGAATAGAATCGCATAGCATAGCATAGCATAGCATAACATAGCATACATAGCATAGCATAGCATAGCATACAATACTGGAATGAAGAATAGAATAGAATAGAATAGAATAGAATAGAATAGAATAGAATAGAATAGAATAGAATAGAGCCGAGGTGGCGCAGTGGTTAGAGTGCAGTACTGCAGCTACTTCAGCTGACTGCTAGTTCAGCAGATCAGCAGATCAAATCTCACCCTCAAGCCTTCCATCCTTCCGAGGTGGGTAAAATGAGGACCCAGATTGTTGGGGCAATATGCTATTTAGTATACTGTCTTTGGTGTAAGCCGCCCAGAGTCCTCGAGAGTGGGCGGCATAGAAATATGACTAATAAAATAAAATAATAAATAAATAGAATAGAATAGAATAGAATATTGACATGAAGCAACGGATGGAAACTAATCAAGGAGAGAAGCAACCTAGAACTAAGGAGAAATTTCCTGACAGTGAGGAGAATTAATCAGTGGAACAGCTTGCCTCCAGAAGTTGTGAGTGCTCCAACACTCGACGTTTTTAAGAAGATATTGTACAACCATTTGTACAAACCCAAGATTGTTGTGGACAATATGGTGACTCTATAAACCGCTTAGAGAGGGCTGTAAAGCACTGTGAAGCGGTATATAAATGCTATTGCCATTTGTCTGAAATGTTTTTTTAGGGTCTCCTGCTCAAGCTTGGGGTTGGACTAGAAGACCTTCCGAGGTCCCTTCCACCCTAACATTCAATGCTGCATGTCCTATCTCGGGTTCAATCTAAGTAATTTAGAAAGTTCTGGAACGCAACTGGAATCTAGTGAACTGTAGCTATAAAGTTTTCCTTCAATACATTTTTTGTGCGTGTGTCTCTCTCTCTCTCTTTGCAGCATTCCTGGCTCAGCCGTCTGCGCGTACGACATGGCCCAAATTGCATCCGTTTTCGAAGGTCGCTTCCGAGAACAAAAATCTCCCGAATCCATTTGGACTCCGGTCCCGGAAGAGCTGGTTCCCAAACCACGGTAAGAGAATAAACCACAAGCCGCCTGGAAACCCCATGTGCTAGCTAGACAAAAGCCACTATGGAAATGTTTCTAGTCCTCAAGGAATTCCTCTTGATGCTCCCCCCCCCCCACTACCTCAAGCAATCCCGTTCTGATTTCCATGAGCTCAGGGACCAATGACTTCTACGACTGCCCACTTGTTTTGAATCATACAGAATGGTGCTCAACTTACAACCATTCATTCGTTGAGACTTTGGGAAAAGCGCAAAGAAGAGCAACTAAGATGATCAAAGGCTTGGAGCAGGGGTGAAATGCTCCCGGTTCGGACCGGATCGCCCGATCCGGTAGCGATGGAGGCAGGTGGTTCGGAGAACCGGTAGCAAAAATCCCTGTCCCCCCCCCCCCCAGCTGAGCCGCACAATCATCAGAGGCTTTTTTTTTTAACTTTTAAAAGCATTTTTTCTACAACTTCTTCGGCCGAAAAAATGCTTTTAAAAGTAAAAAAAAAAAGCCTCTGATGATCGCGCGGCTCAGCTGGGATCATCAAAGGCTTTTAAAAGAAATAACCTTTTTTTTCTTTTAAAAGCCTCTGACGGTCCAAGCTGAGTTGCCTGATCAGCAGAGACTTTTTTTCTTTTAAATGCCTCTGACGATCAGGCAACTCAGCTTGGATCGTCAGAGGCATTTAAAAGAAAAAAAACCCATCCAAGCTGAGTTGCCTGATCGTCAGAGGCATTTAAAAGAAAAAAAGCCTCTGCCGATCAGGCAACTCAGCTGGGATCATCAGAGCCTTTTGAAAGCATTTTTTTACAACCTCTTTGCCGAACAGGTTGTAGAAAAAATGGTTTTAAAAGGATTTTAAAAATTGGCCATGCCCACCCAGTCACTTTACCCCCACCCTCACCAAGCCATGCCCACAGAAACCGGTAGTAACAAATTTTAGATTTCACCACTGGCTTGGAGACTAAAACATCTGAAGAATGGTTGTAGGATTTGGGTTTGGCTAGTTTAGAGAAAAGAAGGACTAGGGGGGGACATGATAGCAGTTTTCCAGGATTTGAGGGGCTACCCCAAAGAAGAGGGGGGGGGGGTCAATTTATTCTCCAAAGTACCTGAGAGCAGGACAAGAAGCAATGGGTGGAAACTAATCAAGGAGAGAAGCAACCTAGAATTAAGGACAACTGGCTGTCCATTCTCTTCTTAAAAACCTGCAGTATTGGCGCCTTCACAACTGGTGGCAAGCTGTTCCACTGGTTAATTGTCCTCACTGTTAGGAAGTGTCTCCTTAATTCTCCTTAATTCCAGGTTGCTTCTCTCCTTGATTAGTTTCCACCCATTGCTTCTTGTCCTGCTCTCAGGTACTTTGGAGAATAAATTGGTTTTTAAGAAGAGATTGGACAACCAATTGTCTGGAATAGGATAGGGCAGTGATACTTAACCTTTTTGCCGTCACGTGCCAAAAGCGAGGAGAGCTCAGGGGGTCGTGCGCACGTATGCCCACACCCATAATTCAATGCCCGCACCCGCACGCACCCCCGGTACTCCCCCGGTTTTTGACACGTGATGGCACGGTGGACCTGGTAGGCCCATTTTTCGCCCTCCCCAGGCTCCAATGGCTTTCTAGGCGCCTGGGGAGGACAAAAACAGCCTTCCCCACCCCATTCCCGGAGACCCTCCAGAGGCCAGAAACAACCCGTATCCCGACTTCCGGTGGGCCCAGAAGGCCTGAAAATCAGCTGGCCAGCGCATGCATGCACGCTGGAGCTGAGCTAGGGCAACGCTTGTGTGCCCATAGATATGGCTCCATGTGCCATCTGTGGCACGCGTACCCTAGGTTTGCCATCACGGGTATAGGATCTCCTGCTTGAGCAGGGGGTTGGAGTAGAAGACCTCCGAGGTCCCTTTCCAGGTCTATTCTGATTGATTTAGTGACCTTTAATTTACGACGGCCCTGGAAAAAAGTGACTTACGATCGTTTTTCACACTTACGACCGTTTTGGCATCCCCACGGTCACGTGATCAAAATTCAGAAGGCTTGGCAACTCGTATTTATGACATTCGCAGCATCCCAAGGTCACAGGCTCCCCTTTTGCGACCTTCCGGTTTTCCCCATTGACTTCGCTTGTTGGAAGGTCACAAAATAACGTCCCCGAATTGCGACGGCCGTAAGTGTGAAAAACAGTCCTAAGTCACAGTGCCGTCGTAACTTTGAACAGTCAGTCGACGGACGGTTGTAAGTCGAGGACTACCTGCACGAAGATGGGACAACAGTGAAGGAGGTTGCAGGGATGGGTGACGACAGAAGGAAGATAGGGGTCGGGCAAAGAGTCTCCCAAAACGTCCGTCGCCCGTCTTCGGTTCGATTCACGCTCTCCTCTTTGGTTCCCCAGACCAGGTTGTTGTGCGGCGCCTGGAATGCAGCACAATTCCTCCAGTCTTTTTCCCGACGAGATCCTGAACTTTGTCAAGACGCATCCCCTGATGGACGAGTCGGTCCCATCATTGGGCAACGCCCCTTGGATCATCCGGAGTGTGGCTCGGTGAGAAATGAAGAATAATCCTCCTCCTCCTCCTCCTCCTCCTCCTCCTCCTCTTCTTCTTCTTCTTCTTCTCCTTCTTCTCCTTCTTCTCCTTCCTCTTCTCCTTCTTCTCCTTCTCCTACTCCTTCCTCTTCTTCTTCTTCTTCTTCTTCCTCTTCCTCTTCTCATTCTCCTTTTCCTTCTCCTTCTCCTTCTCCTTCTCCTTCTCCTTCTTCTTCTTCCTCCTCCTCTTCTCCTTCTCCTTCTCCTTCTTCTTCCTCCTCCTCTTCTCCTTCTCCTTCTCCTTCTTCTTCTTCCTCTTCTTCTTCTTCTTCTTCTTCTTCTTCCATTTCTTCCTCCTCCTTCTCCTTCTCCTTTTCCTTCTTCTTCTCCTCCTTCTTCTTCTTCCTCTTCTTCTTCTCCTTCTCCTTCTTCTTCTTCCTCTTCTTCTTCTTCTCCTTCTTCTTCCATTTCTTCCTCCTCCTTCTCCTTTTCCTTTTTCTTCTTCTTCTTCTTCTCCTCCTTCTTCCTCTTCCTCTTCCTCTCCTTCTCCTGCTCCTCCTCCTGTTCTTCTCCTTCTTTTCTTCTTCTTCTTTTTCTCCTCCTCCTTCTATTCCTCCTCCTCTTTATCTTCTCCTTTCTCTTCCTCCTCCTCCTTTCTTCTTCATCTTCTTCCTCCTGTTCTTTTTCTTCTTTTCTTCTTCATCTTTTTCTCCTTCTCCTTCTATTCCTCCTGCTCTTTTATCTTTTCCTTTCTCTTCTTCTTCTTGTCTTGTTTATCTTCCCCTTCTCCTTCGCCTTCTATTCCTTCTTCTTGTTTTTTCTCTTCTTCCTCTCCTTCCTGTCCTCTTCTTCCTCTTCTTCTCTCCCACCTCCTCCTCCTCCTTCTTCTCCTCCTTTCTCTTCTTTTTCTTCTCCTCCCTCCTGCTTCCTCCTTAAGCAAACCAGTAGTTAGCTATGGCCATACTTTTGCCGAAAACCTAAAAACCATCGTAAAACACAGTCACCTAACAGGGAGATTTTTCAAACGGCCATAAATGCGACACAGTTGCCATGCACCTGAAATTCGGTCACATGACCACAGGGGAGGCGACCATCAGGGAAGGAAGGAAGGAAGAAACAAAGGAAGGAGGGAAGGAAGGAAGGAAAGAAGGAAGGAAGGAAAGAAGGGAAAGATTTATACGATCTGAAGAGAAACCAGAGTATAGGAAGGAAGGAAGGAAGGAAGGAAGGAAGGAAGGAAGGAAGGAAGGGAGACAGAAGGACGGTAGGAAGGAAAGAAGGAAGGGAAGGAGAAAGAGATGGGACAGGGGAGAGGGGGAGGGGGGAGGGAGGAAAGGAAGGAACAAAGGAAGGAGGGAGGGAAGAAGGGTAGAAGGAAGGAAAGAAGGAAAGAAAGAAAGAAAGAAAGGGGAGGGAGGGAGGGGGGGCAGGGAGGGAGGAAGGGAGACAGAAGGACGGTAGGAAGGGAAGAAGGAAGGGAAGGAGAAAGAGATGGGACAGGGGAGAGGGGGAGGGGGGAGGGAGGAAAGGAAGGAACAAAGGAAGGAGGGAGGGAAGAAGGGTAGAAGGAAGGAAGGAAGGAAGGAAGGAAAGAAAGAAAGAAAGAAAGAAAGAAAGAAAGAAAGAAAGAAAGAAAGAAAGAAAGGGGAGGGAGGGAGGGAGGGAGGCAGGGAGGGAGGAAGGGAGGCAGAAGGAAGGTAGGAAGAAAAGAAGGAAGGGAAGGAGAAAGATGGGACAGGGAGAGAGGGAGGAAAGGAAGGAAGAAACAAAGGATGGAAGGAGGGAGGGAAGAAGGGAGGAAGGAAGGAGGGAGTGGGAAGGAGGGAGGTAGGAAGGAAAAAAGGAAGGGAAGGAGGAAAGGAGAGAGGGAGGAAGAAGGGAAGGAAAGGAAGGAAGGAAGGAAGGAAGAACAAATCACGGTCGTAAATCGAGGACTCCCTGTAAATAAAGCACGAAATGCAAATGAATAAACCCCCTCCTCCCCTGCTTTTCATGGGAGCGAGCTCTCTCCCTTCAGGGGGCTTCGCGGTGTAAGTTTCAGCCAATTAAGCCGTGGCATCTGCTCCGATTTGCAAGCGAGGGAGACGAGGCGGCCGGAGGGCATCGAAACCGTTTGAAGCAGGATTACGTTTGCACGGAAACCGAAGGAGGCCTCTTCCGAAAGGCGCCTCTGACGTTTCCAAAATGAGCCTTCCTGATTAACCAGGTTAATCTCGGTTTACCGCAACGACCTTTCCTCACACCCGGCAGGGGTTTCATTAGGGGGCTTCCCAGATGTCTGCCTACAAAGGCTTCGGCTCCTTTCTGTAGGACATGTAGCAACATCTGGAAATCCAGAGGCCGTCCCCTCGGCAAGGCCTCACGTCGTCCTCAATTTAAGACCGTGACGGAGCCCCAAATTTTCATTGTAAGCGAGACGGCGGCGAAGCGAATTGTGCCCCGTTTCACGCCGCTTTCACGTCCGTCTCTCGCCACAGCTGGTAACCGAATCCACTGCCGTCGTTCAGTTAGGAACACGGTTGTTAAGCGAATCAGGTTTTTCCGTCGACTTGGCTTGTCGGAAGGTCGCAGAAGGGGATCGCATGACCCCCCTTTTACAACGAGTCTGTTGCAAAACTCTCATAAGCGTGAGCCAGTTGCCAAGCGTTTGAATTTTTGATCAGGGGACCCTGGGGAATGCTGCGACGGTCGTTAAGTGTGAAAAACAGTCCTCGGTTCCTTTTTTTCAATTCCATCCAGGAGCGGGCTGATGGAGGTTCGCAGGGGTTCGGGAGAACCTCTAGCTAAGATTCTGTGCAGTTCGGAGAACACCCTAATCCCACTCGTGGCTGGCCCCACCCCGCCCACGCTGCCCCCACCCCTCCCAGGAGTCCACACGCAGCCTGTTTTAGATGCAAGTAATTGCAGGGCACGCACGGAAGCTCCGGGAGGGCGAAAAATGGGCGTATTGGAAGTTCAGAGGGCATCCAGACCCTGGGGAGGTTGTTTTCGCCTTCTCGGAGGCTCAGGAAAAGCCTCCGGAGCCTGGGGAGGGCTAAAACACCCCACCCACCCCCGCCGTGGTGCAGGAGGCTGACTAGCTCACGCCCACCATGGCCACGCCTACCCAGCAACCGGGCAGAGAACCCCTTACTAAAATTTTTGAAGCCCACCCCTGGTTCCGTCACTAAACGAACTAAACGAACGGTTGTAAGTCGAGGATTTACCTGTACGCGGATCTCGACACAATTCTCTTCCCAGGCAGGTGGAGGAGACCGGAGAAATGCTCGCTTCTGTTAATTTCCTCCCCGTCTCAGCCAAGACCGTCTGGATCTAATTAAATCTGTCTTAATTGCTGTTTTATGTGAAATTAATCAAGCATTATTTCTGTCGTCTTGCAAAAATTGCACACCAGGAGATGGCATGATTGGGGGGGGAGGGGAGAGACGGGGGGAGGTTGAATTGTTCCACGCACGCGAGTTGGCTGTTTTACAACGACGCGTAGGACAATTTGTGTGTGTTGTCCCTGTGCATGTGTAACAACAACTTGTGGCCCTTGCCAAAAAAAAAACTTACCTCATTTTGCAGCTGTACACAGTTAGTTCTCGACAGTCGTTAAGCGAATCGAGTTTCTCCCCCTTGCCTTGACTTGTCAGAAGGTCGCAAAAGGGGATTGTGTGAGACACACACACACACACCCGGGACACTGCAACCGTCGTAAATGGGAGCAAAGGCCAGGGACAGTTGAGAAGGAAATGGTGGAATTCACACAATCTCCTAAATCCTAACGGGATTAAACCGGCCTCAACGGAGGAACAGGTAGTCCTCGTCTTACGACCACCACTGAGCCCAAAATTTAGGTAGCTCAGTGAGAAATTTATGAAGTTTTGCCCCATTTGCCGACTTTTCTTGCCCCCTTCATCTAGCGAATCACGGCAGCGGTTAAGTTAGTAAGACGGTCGTTAAGCGAATCGTGGTTCCCACCCCTTGATTTTGCTCATCAGAAGGTCGCAAAACGGGATTGCGTGACACCCCCCTCACGAGACACTGCAACCGTCGTACGCGTGAAAAATGGCCGTAAGTCACTTTTTTTTCAGTGCCGTTGTAACTTTGAATGGTCACAAAAGTGAACTGTTGTAAGTCAAGGACTTACCTGTATAAGGGCCGCTCCTTTAATTCTCTATGGTTGTTTCAAGGCATGCTGGCTGGGGAATTCTGGGAGTTGAAGTCCACCCGTTTTAAAGTCACTAAAATTGAGAAATTCTGACTTTAGGGCTCTACCAACCGTGACTGAAAGCAGATACAACCTGCGATTTGGGTACAGTGATGTTTGAACACTAGTACAGGTGGTCCTCGACTTACGACAGTTCGTTTAGTGACCGTTCCAAGTTACAATATCACTGAAAAAAGTGACTTATGACCACTTTTCACGGTTTCAACGGAGGCTACATCCCCGTGGTCACGTGATCAAAATTTCTGACTCATAGGCATGACGTTCGCGAAGTCCTGGGTGTGTGTGTGTGTGTGTGTGTGTGTGTCACGCGATCCCCCTTTTGCGACCTTCTGACAGCCAAAGTCAACGGGGGAAACCAGATTCACTGAATGACCACGATTACTAACTTATCAGCGGCAGCGTTTCGCTCCACAACGGTGGCAAGGAAGATCGTAAAATGGAGCAAAATCTCACGGAACGAATGTCTCGCGTTTACCTCAGACATTTTGGGCTCAATGGCGGTCATACGCCGAGTTTCTTTCTTGTACCAGATGTATACAGGGGTGGGCTGCGATTCGGGTACAGTGATGCTTGAACAACTCTAGTACAGGTGGTCCTCGACTTACGACAGTTCGTTTAGTGACCGTTCCAAGTTACATCGCTGAAAAAAGTGATTTACGAGCACTTTTCACGGTTTCAACCGTGGCAACATCCCCGTGGTCACGTGGTGGACATTTGGATACTTGACCACCGACTCACATTTACGATGGTTGCGGTGTCCCCGGGGGTGGGGTGTGTCACGCGATCCCCTTTTGCGACCTTCTAATCGGCAAAGTCAAAAGGGAGACCGGATTCGCTTAACAACTGTGTTTGCTTAACCGGCGTGGCGAGGAAAGTCGTAACGTGGGCAGCAAAAGTCACTTAACCAACTTCTCGCTTAACCACAGAGATTTGGGGGCTCCGTTGTGGTCGTATGTCGAGGACTACCTATACCTTACAGGGGTGTCGATGTGGCTCCTCCCTCCAACATCTGGGCCCCGCCCACAATTGTCTCCGCTGTCTTCACATGCAAATTTCTTAAGTGAGTTTTGCCCCGTTTTACGACCTTTCTCACCAGCGTTGCTGAATGAATCACTGCTCCTAACACGGTTATTAAGTGAATCCAGCTACTCCGTGGACTTTCCTTGTCCAAAGGTTGCAAAAGGGAACCAAGTGACCCCCAGGACGCTATTAAGGTCACAAATACGAGCCAGTTGTCAAGCGTCTGAATTTTGATCCTGTGCCCCTGAGGATGCAGCCGCGGTCGTAAGTGCGAAAAATGGTCCTAAATCACTTTTTTCCGTGCCGTGGTGACTTTGGTCACTAAACAAATGGTTGTAAGTCGAGGACTACTTTTATTTCTAAACAAGAATTAAGGTGGGATCAAAAATGTTTTTAAATAATCTGGCATGCTAAAAATAAATGGACATTATTTAAAATTATTATTATTTTAAATCATAAGTGCGTCAGTTCTGAATCCGGCCGATTAACCTTCCATCCTTTCCCGGAAAAGGTACCAACTCCGGAAGATTGTGGTGGACAACGCAGCCGGACCGGGTCGGAATTACACCGTCGTCTTTCTGGGCTCCGATTCGGGAACCGTCCTGAAATTCCTCATCCGCGCCAACCTCAGCGCCAGCTCATCTCCCGCCCGAGCCAGTAGCCACAGCTTGCTGCTGGAGGAATTTGAGACCTACCCCAGTGACAAGTGAGTCGAAACCGACAAACGCACTTGTGCAAACAAACCACAGAGACATACACACCAGTGGTGTGTTTCAATTTTTTTTAACTACCGGTTCTGTGGGTGTGGCTTGATGGGCGTGGCATGGCTTGGTGGGCGTGGCAGCGGAAGGATACTGCAAAATCTCCATTCCCACCCCACTCCAGGGGAAGGACACTGCAAAATCCCCATTTCCTCCCGATCAGCTGGGACTCGGGAAGCAGAGAATAGATGGGGACGGGACCAGTCAGAATTTTTACTACCGGTTCTCCGAACGACTCAAAATTTCCGCTACAGGTTCGCCAGAACTGGTCAGAACCTGCTGAAACCCACCTCTGATACACACCCCTTCGTTTTTCAAAGTTGAAAAGCAAGAAGGCTTCATTCCAGCTGGGGAATTCTGGGAGTTGAAGTTCACTCATCCCAGCTGGAGAATTCTGGGAGTTGAAATCCACCTATGACGACTGGGGAATTCTGGGAATTTTTAATTATTTTGTTTTGTTTTGTTTTATATTTTATTGTTTTATTTTGTTTTGTTTTGTTTTATATTTTATTGTTTTATTTTGTTTTGTTTTGTTTTATTTATTATTTGATTATTTGATTTTGATTTTGATTTTGATTTTGATTTTGATTTTGATTTTGATTTTGATTTTTAGAGCTGTCCACCTTAAAACACAACTCAGGGAGTTTCCCAAAGACATTTTTCATGTTTGTCTACCGTTTTTTCCCCCTTGTTTTTCACATTTTTATTTGTAAATCCACCGCCATCGTTCCTCCCCCTGGCCATCCCCGGAGTTGTTAGGCATTGGGTGGCATATACATTATATAAATAACAACAACAATAATAATCCCCTAGGTCTTTGGGAAGGACTCGATGGAAGGATGGATACACATGCCGAGTGCCGACTAAACATCCGGCTGATTCTGCAATCCGCCATACTCATCCTCCCCTTCCTCTTTTCCCAGGTGCGGGAAGGACGCAACAGGCGAACGGAAACTGCTGAGCATGGAGCTGGATAAGGCTACGGGATCGCTGCTGCTGGCCTTCCCCCCCTGCGTCGTGCGGGCCCCCGTGGCCAGGTGCCACCAGCACTCCACGTGTATGAAGTGAGTCCCCACTTTTGCTTCTGCTGAACTGGGGATATCACTCAATCCGTGTCCTGCTTTAGGCATGAAAATCAGCTGGTTGACTTTAGGCTCATCACTGGGAGATGGCGAGTTCTAGGCATGAAAGCTGGCACAGTGACTTCCAGCCAATTGCTAGGAGATTGTGAGTTCTAGTTCCATCATAGGTATGATAGTTGGCTGGGTGACTTTTGACCAGTCACTAGGAGACTGTGAGTTCTAGTTCATTCTTAGGTATGAAAGCCGGATGGTGACTTTGGGCCAATCACTAGAGACTGTGAGTTCTAGTTTCACCTTAGGTATGAAAGTTGGCTGGGTAACTTTCAGCCAGTCACTAGGAGATTGTGAGTTCTAGTTCATTCTTAGGTATGAAAGCGGGCTGGTATGACTTTGGGCCAGTCACTAGGAGACGGTGAGTTCTAGTTCATTCTTAGGTATGAAAGCCGGCGGTGAGTTTGGGCCAATCACTAGGAGATGGTGAGTTCTAGTTCCATCTTAAGTATGAAAGCCAGCATGGTGACTTTCAGCCAGTAACTAGGAGACGGTGAGTTCTAGTTCATTCTTAGGTATGAAAGCCGGCTGGTGAGTTTGGGCCAATCACTAGGAGATGGTGAGTTCTAGTTCCATCTTAGCTATGAAAGTCAGCATGGTGACTTTCAGCCAGTCACTAGGAGACACTGAGTTCTAGTTCATTCATAGGTATGAAAGCCGTCTGGTGAGTTTGGGCCACTCACTAGGAGATGGTGAGTTCTAGTTCATTCTTAGGTATGAAAGCCGTCTGGTGAGTTTGGGCCACTCACTAGGAGATGGTGAGTTCTAGTTCCATCTTAGGTATGAAAGCCAGCACGGTGACTTTGGGCCAATCACTAGGAGACGGTGAGTTCTAGTTCCATCTTACGTATGAAAGCCAGCATGGTGACTTTCAGCCAGTCACTAGGAGACAGTGAGTTCTAGTTCATTCTTAGGTATGAAAGCCGGCTGGTGAATTTGGGCCAATCATTAGGAGATGGTGAGTTCTAGTTCCATCTTAGGTATGAAAGCCAGCACGGTGACTTTGGGCCAATCACCGGGAGACAGTGAGTTCTAGTTCTGCCTTAAGACCACCCATCTTCTAGTCGTCCACGTTGGAGAAACAATGATGTTCTGGGAAAGTAACACAGGCAGATAAACCACAAATCTGAACGATTCTAAAATTAATATATTCCATTACGTCATTAGAAGTTCTCCATATAATGAGATATTTTATCTCCCTTTCCTAAGCAACATCCATAAACCTGTTCGGTTTCGAGCAAAAAAAAGAAAAGAAAAGAAAAGAAAGAAATGCTTGGTTAGCACTCTTCGAATCATTAAAAGGAAACTGTAGGGAATAAATAATGCATGAAGTCAATACTGTACCATAAATTATACATCAAATTTTTAAAAAATAAATAAATAAATAAAAGGACTTTGAAGCTCCAATTTTCGATGCGGCACAAATTGCGGGTATAAAATTGTAGCCCTAGAAGGGTTTCCAATTAAAATGCCAGGTCAAATCTCATTTTTTAAATAGAAGGTTATTCTATTCTAAACATCCACATTTAGTTAGCCAGAGAAAGGTCAAAAGACTTTTCCAATAAAAGGCACGTAAAATCCTTGCAGCCATTAATATAAACAACACCAGTTCTGTATATTTGGTATTTTAGTTCCTTCCTCTCTCCTTCCTTCCTTCCTTCCTTCCTTCCTTCCTTCCTTCCTTCCTTCCTTCCTCCCTTTCCTTCCCTTCCCTTCCCTTCCCTTCCCTTCCCTTCCTTTCCTCCTCCCTTCTTCCTATCCCTTGTTTCTTTTTCCTTCCTTCCCTATCCTTCTCCCCTCCCTTCCTTTCTTCATTCCTCCCTTCTTTCCTTCCCTTCCTTTTCTTTCTCCTCCCTCCCTCCCTTTCTTTCCTTTCTCTTCCTTTCCTCCCTCCCTTCTTTTCTCATTCCCTCCCTCCTTATGTTCCTTCCCTCCTTCCTTCTTTCTCCCTCCCTCAATTTCTCTTCTTCTTCCTCCCTCCTCCGTCATCCCTCCCTTCCTTTCTTCCACCCTTCCATCCTATCCTTGTTTCTTTTTCCTTCCTTCCCTATCCTTCTTCCCTCCCTTCTTTCTTCATTCCTCCCTTTTTTCCTTACTTCCTTCCCTTCCTTTTCTTTCTCCTTCCTCCCTTTTTTCCTTTCTCTTCCTTTCCTCCCTCCCTTCTTTCCTTTCTCACTTCCCTCCCTCCTTATCGTTCCTTCCTTCCTCCCTCACCCTCCTCCTCCTTTCTTTCCTTCTTTCCTTCCTCCCTCCCTCACCCTCCCTCCTCCTTCTTTCCTTCCTTCCTTCATGTCTCACCCTCCCTTCCTTTTTTCCTTCTTTCCTCCCTTCCTTCTTCCCCTTCCCCTTCTTCTTTCCTTCTTCCTTCATGTCTCACCCTCCCTTCCTTCTTTTCTTCCCTCCCTCCCTTCTTCCCCTCCCCTCCTTCTTTCCTTCCTTCCTTCATGTCTCACCCTCCCTTCCTTTTTTCCTTCTTTCCTCCCTTCCTTCTTCCCCTTCCCCTCCTTCTTTCCTTCCTTCCTTCATGTCTCACCCTCCCTTCCTTCCTTTTCTTCCCTCCCTCCCTTCTTCCCCTTCCCCTCCTTCTTTCCTTCCTTCCTTCATGTCTCACCCTCCCTTCCTTCTTTCCTTCTTCTTTTCTTTCTCCTCCCTCCCTTTCTTTCCTTTCTCTTCCTTTCCTCTCTCCTTTCTTTCCTTTCTCACTTCTGTCCCTCCTTATCGTTCCTTCCTTCCTTCCTCCCTCACCCTCCTCCTCCTTTCTTTCTTTCCTTCCTTCCTTCCTTCTTTCCTTCCTCCCTCCCTCCCCCTCCTCCTTTCCTTCCTTCTTTCCTTCCTTCCTTCATGCCTCACCCTCCCTTCCTTCTTTCCTTCCTTTCCTCCCTCCCTCCCTTCTTCCCCTTCCCCTCCTTCTTTCTTTCCTTCCTACCTTCCTTTCTCCTTCTGTCCCTCACCTCCTCCCTTCCTTCTTTCCTTCCTCCCTCCCATCCTCCCTTCCTTCCTACCTCTGTCCCTCACCCCCTCCCTAACTACTATCCTACCCCACCGTTGCATTTCCAGCCTTTGGTCCTTTGGTCACATGACCCTGATTGACGGCATCTTTGCCAACACCTGGCCTTTACTTCCGCTTCTTGGCAAAAACCACCCCAATGGCTTCACCTAACAACCGCCCCTCCTAAGCCTCATAAAATCGCTCACAGGACGACCCGCTTTTTGACCCTCACAAGATTCGACGTCGTAAAGTCGAGGATCCCCTGTACTACCGCTGTCCTCCCACAAAGAACATTTTTGACTCAGTTTCACAGCCCTTCTCGCCAACTGATGCTCCTTGGCCACGTTCCCTCAATGCCACATTTCAGGGAGGCGGTCAGCGGCCTCGCACATCCGTCTCTGACGTTCTTGGACCAATTATCGGGGAATGCTGCCGGCTCTGGCGACCGCGAAGGCACCTTTGCTTCGTTCATCACTCACCACGGCAGCCTTTTCCCTCCCTCGGCTGTCCTGGCAACGTTTCTGCACTTAATTACCAGCTATGAAAATCCTGTTATTCACCGGTTCTCTCGGCTGAAATGCCTGATCCCTGGACAAGGACTGGCAATAAAATCAAGGATACAGCCAAAAGGCAGGCTCTTCAAAATCCGAAATAAACATAAAATGCAAATGCCGCAGAGCAGAAGGTCAAAAATCCCAGAGTTGCGGTTTTTTTGGATTAGCAGATGGAGCAGAATCCGGACGGAGTTCCTCGGATTCTTGCCGTGAATGTTGGACGTTGCGTTTGGAAATTGGGAGGGAAAAAAGGGGGAATGCTTTTTGGGACACGCACGCCATTCCTGTACTGAATTCTCTCAAAGCCATAAACTCCATTTAAACCCAAAAGGGATTTTTTTTTCCCTGCAGATTTGAGGAAAATAACCAGAAAATGTCACTCCACCCAGAAAGACACCCAGAAAAAATTCCGATTTGCATCTCTTGAGCATAGGATGTTTGCAGAATCGGAGTTTTGAGAGTAAAAATAGTCCTTGACTTACAACAGTTCATTTAGTGACGGTGATCACTGCGGTGATTCACCCAACAACTGCGGCAAAAAAGGATGTAAAATGGAACAAAATTCACTTGTGAAATGTTTCACTTAGAAGCAGAAATTTGGACTCAATTGTGGTCATAAGTCCAAGGACTATCTGTACAGGAGAAATAACAGAGAGATAAGAGATAGACATGTTTGATAGATGATAGATAGATAATAGATAGATGAGAGAGAGAGAGAAGAGAGAGAGAAGAGAGAGAGAAATAATAAATAATAGATGATACGTAGGTAGGTAGGTAGAGAGATAGATAGATAGGATAGAGAGAGAGATAACAAAGAGAAATAGAGAGACATGTTTGATAGATGATAGATAGATGAGAGATGAGAGATAATAGAGAGAGAGATATAATAGATGATAGGTAGGTAGGTAGATAGATGATAGATAGATAGATAGATAGATAGATAGATAGATAGATAGATAGATAGATACATACATACATACATAGATACATAGATACATAGATACATAGATACATAGATACATAGATACATAGATAGATGATAGATAGAAAAAGATAGCTAGGATGGATATAGATCGATGATAGATAATGTAGAGAGAGATAATAGAAAAATAATGATAGATAGATAGATGATAGATAGATAGATAGATAGATAGAGAGATAGAGAGATAGAGAGATAGAGAGATAGAGAGATAGAGAGATAGAGAGATAAATAGCTAGGATATATAGATCGATGATAGATAATGTAGAGATAGATAGATAGACAGATAGATAGATAGATAATAGATAGATAATAAAGAGAATGGTAGATAGATGATATATATATATATATATAGAGAGAGAGAGAGAGAGAGAGAGAGAGTAATAAAGAATGGTAGAGAGATATATATATATATATATATATATATATATATATATATACATGGAGAGAGAGACAGAGAGAGAGAGATGACAGATGATAGAGAGAGATAATAGATAATAAGATAGACAGCTAGATGATAGAGAGATATATGATAGATAAATAAAATAAACAAAACAAAAAATAAAATAAAATATGAAATAAAACAAACCAACAAAATCAAACGAATAATGATAAATAGCATAACATAAAAATGAAATGAAATAATGAAATAAAACAGTTGAGCCATCCGTAGCTCATTACAAGGTCTTCCATCAACGCTGCCAGGGTGATATTTGATGGAGAAGCCTGGCATTCTGCCCTCACAGACCGGAACCGAAGGCCATCTTGCAAAGTTGCAAAGCCTCAAAGTCTGTTTGAGAGGATCCTTGCCCAAGCGGGGTGGGGGGGGGGGGGAGGGCGGGGAGAGGGGTTGTGGGGAAGAGGGGCTTTGACAGACGTTCGAGTTTGATCTCTTCCTCCATCTGGGTTCCAGTCACCTCCTCATTACGTCTCGTTTGTCTTCTGTCGTTCAGGAATTGTTTGGCCAGCAACGATCCGTACTGTGGCTGGACGCCTGAAGGGTCTTGTATTTTTGTGGAACGCAACACCAGGTAATCTGAGGATTTGGAGGGCCTTGCTATGGGGCAGTCCTCCTCCTCCTCCTCCTCCTCCTCCTCCTCCTCCTCCTCCTCCTCCTCCTCCTCCTCCTCCCAACAAACCCCACCCCCTTCTAGCACTGAAGATGTTTCCTAGTTGAGCCGTGAAACGTCTGTCAGAAAACAACCAAGTTCAGAGAGCACCAAGGACCCCACGGTCCTCCTCCTCCTCCTCCTCCTCCTCCTCCTCCTCCCAACAAACCCCACTCCCTCCTAGACTGATGATGTTCCCTAGTTGGGTCATGAAACGTCTCCCCGAAAACAACCAAGCTCAGAGAGCACCAAGGACCCCCTCATGTCAACCCCGAGCTACAAATATTCTCCTTTATTGATATATTAAGAGCTTTTATACAATTCTACGGTTTCCGTTGTAAACTGTTCAGAGGCAATGCAGCTGAGAGTAATGTGAATGATGTAGGAATAGTACAGGGTCAGCTATATGAACACTGGAGGACCCTCTTTATTCACATTATTATAAGAAAGAAATGTGCTAGTTTAGAGATTACACTAAGTCAGCTAAATTCCATTCTTGGTAATATATATCTTCTGAGGGGCCTAGCTGTTAAGGATGCAAGGACATCCATCTGAAACAAAAAAGTTACTTATTATCCAAAGCAGCCATGAATCTACGCATCAGCAATCACAGAACTGAGGAAGGTTGTTTAGCTAAGATAATCTTATGAACTAGAAAATAACGAAGGAATTTAGTAATTAGAAAGTGTCAATTATAATGTAACAAATGTACGTTAACCATATATGGAAAACTGCTGTGCTCACAAAATCCTTTGCCTTGGAGATGTATAAAAGCAGTTGTATCAGAGCTCTTCTGGGTTCAGAATTGCAGATACAAATCTGGTTCTGAAACTGCGCAATAAACTGTCTCTGGCTGACCCAGGAATGTTGTTTGGTCCCATCATTCCATAACCAGAGGGGTGGCATAGAAATACGATAAATAAGTAAAATTAAAAAATAAATAAATGTCATTAAACATTTCCAATTCCCTCTCCGTGAATTTACAGGCTGGCGTTTGAACAAGATATCGGTGGCATCAAGACCTCTTACCTCGGTGACTGTGAAGGTGAGCACCACTCTACAAGTCAAGTCTACCAGTTTTTGCTGAGTCAGCCTGTTTCTGATTTTTTTTTTTTTTTTTTTTTTTTTTTTAGTTCAGTTCCTGGAGATCTGAGATTAACTGCCTAACCCTGATAGAAAGCCAGACTGACTGACAAACAAGCCATCTTCAGCTAGAGACTATAAATCATCCATTTCATTTTAATTTTGTTTGTTTATCCAATTTATTGGCCCGACCATCTTACCTCAGGATAACGCTGGGCGGCGTACAATATTAAAAAAAAATAGAACTGCAGATAGTCCTTGAGTTCCAACCGTTTGTTTAGTGACCATTCAAAGTTAGAACGGCACTAAGAATTGACTTACACCCATTTTTCACACTTACGACCGCTGGAGCATGGTCGCAGGCTCAAAATTCAGAGGCTTGGCGATGGACTCGTATTTATGACGGTCGCAGTGTCCCGGGGGAGGGGGGATGTCACGTGATCCCCTTTTGTGACCTTCTGACGAGCAAAGTCAACGGGGAAGCCAGCTTCGCTTAACGACCCTGTGACTAAATTAACAACTGAAGTGATTCACTTAACAAATGTTGCAAAAAAAAAAGGTTGTAAAATGAGGCAAAATTCACTTAAATGTCTCACTTAGCAACCTAAATTTTGGGCTCGATTCTGGTCATACACTGAGGACTATCTGTATGTAAATAAAATACTAGCAAAGTAGTGTTTATTCCGCAAAATTCTTAGGCTATGTTTGTCAGTCATACCTCGGCCAATTTTATTTTATTTTATTTCTATTTGTTATATGTTGATTCAATTTATTTTAATGAAGAGGAGGACTAGGGGTGATGCGATAACCGTCTTCCAATATTGGAGGGGCTGTCACAAAGAAGAGGGGGTTGACCTATTCTCCAAAGCACCTGAGGGCAGGACAAGAAGAGAGGTCAAACCTAGAACTTAGAAAAAATTTCCTGACAGTGAGAACAATTAATCAGTGGAACAGCTTGCCACCAGAAGTTGTGGGTCCTCCAACACTGGAGGTTTTTAAGAAGAGATTGGACAATCATTTGTCCAGCATGATGCAGGGTCTCCTGCTCGAGCAGGAGGTTGGACTAGAAGACCTCCAAGGCCCCTTCCAACCCTGTTATTCTATGTTATTCCTACAGGCCTGGTGACGGAAAGCTTTGTGGATGAACCTAACGGGCTGGTGTCCGTCAACTTGCTGGTCATCTCTTCTGTGGCGGCCTTTGTCATCGGAGCGGTGATCTCAGGCTTTAGCGTGTGCTGGTTCATCGGACATCGAGACCGTAAGGAACTGGCCCGCCGCAGAGACAAGGAAAACATCCTCGCGCATGGCGAATCCGTGGTCAGCGTCAGCCGGCTGGGAGATCGGCGTTCCCGGGGACCCGGTGGCCAACCGGAGAACTTGTTGGCTCCACTCATGCAGAACGGGTGGCCCAAAGGACTGATTAAGATGGGCCAGCATGACCTCGATTCAGGGGTACTCCCCACTCCGGAGCAGACCCCCTTGCAACAAAAGCGGTACCCCAAGCCGTGCAGCTGGGAATACAGCCACAATCTCATCAACGCTTCCCTGCGCGGAGGAGAACCGCCATCCTCGGTTATCCTTCTCCACGCGGGACATACCCCGGTGCCGTCGCACCTGAGTTCCGGACGAGTCATCCCCATTTCCTGCCAGTCCGTGTTGATGGACCAAGAACTGGACAGCGAAGGAGCAGACCTCTCGCTAGACATGCGTTATCTCCCGGTTAGCGGTGGCGAGGGACCGAGAAGTATCCAATCACATCCAGGCCCGCTGACCCATCGACCTTGCGGGACTCGGAGCTCGTACGGCAGCGAGCTGCCGATCACGCCGCACGACAGCCCGGATCGGCGGCGGGTTGTATCCGCTCCAACCGGGGACACAGGCAATCAGTGGAATCCCGAGAAGCTGAACTTCAATAGTAACAGCACGGGCAGCAAAGGAAGCGCTCACCTCAGGCGCACCCACACGTTCAACAGCGGGGAAGGTCAGACCACCCACGCCCGAGCCCAGCGGACATCGACGCCGGGACCTCATCACACCCTCACAGACTACAGTCATCTCTTGAAATACAGTGGCGCAGAGAGGACTCCGTCTTCGGTCAAATAGGGCTGGTCAGGGTTGTGTGGCTTGGCTTGGTAACCTTCTTCCTCACACGAGGGGTGGGGTTTTGCTGCAGAGAGGAAGAGGAAGAGGAGGAGGAGGAGGAGGAAGAGCAAAGCAGGAAAACGACAGTGAGAGATGCTTGATTCCCCCGTAGGTGGTCTGGAGGGACCGGAATGCCCCACTTCCCAAGCGTTCCAGATCTGCGCGAGATACAAAAAAAAAGAAGGTTCTTTTCTTCGTGTGTGTATGTGTGTTTTTGGGGTTCTCTTCATCCTGGCGCTTCCTCATTGGATTCTTCCTTGCCTTTGCAAAACTCCTCCTCCTCCCTGAGGGGGTGGGCAGGCAGGGGCAGGCCCGGGCACTGCCCCCACCCACCCGCGTGTGGGCAAAGGTACTGTCGGTAAGTCAGGAAGGAACAGCGATCGTGAAACGAGTTGCAACGATTATCTGCTGCTAAGGAAAAAAGGAACAGGACGGCTGCACAACGCATTGGGGGTGGCCCTCCTGGTTTCTTTACTCATTCTCTCTTCCCCACCCGCCTTTTATTTTTATTTTTGGCTCTGGAAGGGTGGGGGGGGTTCTGTTTCAGACTGTGAAAGAGTTCTCCGAAAATTACCATTGTCCGTTTTGTTTTTTCCTCTTCCTCTTTTTGACGTGGTCCCAGCGGGTCCCACACATGCCAACACGCACAGAAGTGAACCCCACTTCCTGAGCTCCTGCAGGGCTGCTGTTCCTCTCTAGGAACAAGAACTTTATGGGGAGAAGAGACCCCCCCGACTCCCCTTTTCCTTGGTGCTACATGTGGGTCCCACCACTGCAAAAGTTCGACTCCAGTCACACCAGCTCTGAGCACAGAAGTCCTGGGCATTCCACGGTCGGCGAAAAGGCTGATTGTGATGGGAGAGAAGTGGGTCAGGCTGGAAAATTCACCCTAGCTTTCAGCAGTCCCGGCTGGAAGCCCACCTTGAGAGGGTTTCCAGGTTTTTTAAAATGCCGTTTCTTACCGAGTCACTTGGGTTGAGTTCGCACAACATGCTAAAGCTGCCAATTCCTGAACTGTGCTTTAGAGAACGAAATTCTGGGTTTGCCCCACAGAAAGAAAATAAACTAGCACAGCATAACTGTGTTATGTAAACCTTTTGGAAGCCGGAGGGTGCGCTGATCACTTGCTCTGATTCGAACAAGCTGTTTGTTGAACGGGTTTTATCAAACGACAAAGTGAGGCGGCGGAGGTACGCTGGTTTCATTCTGGGTTTCCAAAGGACCGTGACACTTTGGCAAGCCCTTTCCTGAGCCTTGGGGTGTCGGAGCCTGCAGCTCCTTGTCCTGTCTCTGCACTCCATGAAAGTTCCATGCGTTCCTTGGAAGTTCTGCACAGACTCCATGGAAGTGCATGCATGGACGTGCCGTGCACTTCATAAAAGTTCCATGCAACCTGTGGAAGTTCTGCGCACTCTGTGAAAGAACGTTCTGTGCACTCCCCGAAAGTTCTGTGTGCTTCATGGAAGTTCCACGCACTCCGTGGAAGTTCTGTGCCCTTTGTGAAAGCTCCAGAACTGTGACATGGATGGAGTTATTTGGGGATGTTTTATAAACTGTGTGAGAGTTCTGTGCATTCTGTGGAAGTCACACACACTCCGTGGAAGTTCCATGCACCCCATGGCAATTCCATGCATTCCGTGGAAGTTTCATACACTCCGTGAAAGTTCCATACACTCCATGGCAATTCCATACACTCCATGGAAGTTCCATGCTCTCCATGGCAATTCCATACACTCCGTGGACGTTCCATATACCCCTTGGCAGTTCCATACACTCTGTGGACGTCCCATACACTCCATGGCAATTCCATACACTCCATGGACGTCCCATACACTCCATGGACGTCCCATACACTCCATGGCAATTCCATACACTCCATGGACATCCCGTACACTCCATGGATGTCCCATACTCCATGCAATTCCATACACTCTGTGGAAGTTCCATACACTCCATGGCAGTTCCATACACTCCGTGGACACCCCATACACTCCATGTATGTTCCATACACTCCATGGTAATTCCATACACTCATGGACGTCCATACACTCCATGGCACTTCCATACACTCCATGGACATCCCGTACACTCCATGTATGTCCCATACACTCCATGGCAATTCCATACACTCTGTGGAAGTTCCATACACTCCATGGCAGTTCCATACACTCCGTGGACACCCCATACACTCCATGTATGTTCCATACACTCCATGGCAATTCCATACACTCCATGGACGTCCCATACACTCCGTGGACGTTCCATATACTCCATGGCAATTCCATACACTCCGTGGAAGCTCCATGAGCTCTGTGGAAGTTGCCTGCACTCCATGGAAATTCCATATACTCCATGGACGTTCCATACAGTCCATGGCAATTCCATACACTCCGTGGACGTTCCATACAGTCCATGGCAATTCCATACACTCCGTGGATGTTCCATAGAGTCCATGGCCAATTCCATACACTCCGTGGAAGCTCCATGAGCTCTGTGGAAGTTGCATGCACTCCATGGAAGTCCCATGGAACCATGCCAGAACTGGCTTCCATGGAGTTCCTTGGGCAGACAGCATTGTCTTCTATCCAGTTCTTCCATCTTCATTCTGAGATTTATTTATTTTTAAAGGAGATCTTGGCAGCTGCATACACGCGGTAGAAGCGATGTGCAGAACCAAGGCAGAAGAAGATCCACCATCTTCTCTTTGACAGTCACAAGGTCTTACGTCCTGTACAGGAGTGCAGACTGTGTCCTTCCTTCCTTCCTTCCTTCCTTCCTTCCTTCCTTCCTTCCTTCCTTCCTTCCTTCCTTCCTGGAAGGCCACTTTGGTCATTCACACAACTTCTTTAATCATTCACGGGGCTTAACATATCTGAATCTCCAAAAGGAAACACGGAGGCGTGGACTTCACATGATGTGGTTGGACAAGGGCGGGAACCCCCACCCGCCTCAGTACATTCCCAAACCTCCGATAGCTAAGCCCCCGCCATAATTCTTGACGTGCACGCCCCGTTTCTTTCTCATTTGCAGGTGTATACATCCAAGGGTGGACTTCAAACATTTTAGCAAGGTTTTCTCTGCCCGGTTGCTGGGTGGGCGTGGCCTAGTCGGCCTCCTGCACCAGAGGGGGGTCATTTTTGTCCTCCCGGGCTCTGGAGGCTTTCCTCGAGCCTCCGGGAAGGTGAAAATGGCCTCCCCAGGCTCCAGAGGCCCTCTGTTCTTCACGAACCTCTGGTAGGCCCGTTTTTCACCCTCCCTAAGCTTCCGCATGTGCCTTGCACTTACCTGCATCCAAAATGGGCCACGTGGGGATTCTTGGGAGGGGCAGGGTGGGCGGGGCCAGCCAGGAGTCAGATTTGGGGGTTCTCCGAACTGCCCAGAATCTTAGCTAGAGGTTCTCCCGAATCCCCAACAGCCCACCCCTGTATACATCTGGTACAAGAAAGAAACTCGGTGTATGACCGCCATTGAGCCTAAAATGTCTGAGGTAAACGCGAGACATTCGTTCCGTGAGGTTTTGCTCCATTTTACGATCTTCCTTGCCACCGTTGTGGAGCGAAACGCTGCCGCTGATAAGTTATTATATCGTGGTTGTTCAATGAATCTGGTTTCCCCCATTGACTTTGGCTGTCAGAAGGTCGCAAAAGGGGGATCGCGTGACACACACACACACACCCCACGACTTCGCGAATGTCATGCCTATGAGTCAGAAATTTTGATCACGTGACCACGGGGATGTAGCCGCCGCTGAAACCGTGAAAAGTGGTCATAAGTCACTTTTTTCAGTGATATTGTAACTTGGAACGGTCACTAAACGAACTGTTGTAAGTCGAGGACCACCTGTACAAGAGTCGTTCAAACATCACTGTACCCAAATCGCAGGTTGTATCTGCTTTCAGTCACAGTTGATAGAGCCTTAAAGTCAGAATTTCTCAATTTTAGTGACTTTAAAACGGGTGGACTTCAACTCCCAGAATTCCCCAGCCAGCATGCCTTGAAACAACCATAGAGAATTAAAGGAGCGGCCCTTATACAGGTAAGTCCTCGACTTACAACAGTTCACTTAGTGACCGTTCGAAGTTACAACGGCACTAAAAAAAGTGACTTACAGCCATTTTTCACGCGTACGACCATTGCAGTCCCCTGATTGACATGCTTGAGCACGGACCCACATTTACGACGGTTGCAGTGTGCTTGGCGGGAGTCACGCAATCCCCTTCTGATGAGCAAGGTCAAGGTGGGAAACCCGGTTCCGCTTAACGACCGTCTTACTAGCTTAACCGCTGCCGTGATTCGCTTAACCAAGTGGCAAGGAAAGTTGTCAAAATGGGGCAGATTTCTCACCGAGCGAACCTAAATTTTGGTCGTACGTTGAGGACTACCGGAATCTCCATTGAGGCTGGTTTAACCCCGTTAGGATTTGGGAGATTGTGCGAATTCAGCCGTTCCCTCCTCAACTGCCCTCCACCCCACCCCACCCACCTTTGCTAACACAACTTCACAGTTTTGGTGGATGCAAAGTTGTTTCCCCACAACTTTATCCACTTGTCATTTCTGACAATCGTCCTGGGAACTGGCACAGCAGAAAGCAGGCCCTCTCCACGCTCGGCTGTCAACCGAAGTTTCTCCTACCTCACCAACTTTAAAGACATGTGGACTTCGACACCTTTAAAGTCGCTAAAGGTGAAGCAACATTGCTCTAAACCAGGGGTCTCCAAAACCTTGGCAACTTTAAGACTTGTGGACTTCAACTCCCAGAATTCTTTGTTTTGTCAAACTGGCTGAGGAATTCTGGGAGTTGAGGTCCACAAGTCTTAAAGTTGCCAAGGTTTTGGAGACCCCTGCAATAAAAACAGACGGAAGGGATTCGAACCAATTTGGCAGGACTGTGCTTCCACCACCGTGCGCATTGGGGCTGCGTGAAACCTCCATGTCTCAGGGCAGTGTATCTCCGCTGGGGACAGCAGGTGTGTGGGTGGGTGGGTTTTTAACCTTTTACCTTCCCGCCCATCCTTGGTGAGCTTCCCACCAAGGACATCCGATGGGCCACTGTAGGAACGAGATTGATCCGATCTATTTTAATACCTTGAGTTTTGGGTAAAACAGAAGGAAGTTGTTTTTTGGGGGTGCGGGGAGCAGATTAACCTGGTGGAATTTGGGCAGGGATGAACATCCCCTCCCCAGGATTTCATGTTTGATGGGAGGGGGTGATGGCAGCTCTATCGTGGGCTCAGAGGTTGTTGTCGACCCCAGATTTCTTCCCCCCTCCCCGGGCAACACCCCTTCCCCATGGAGACGAGAAAGCACACTGTATATATAAAGTGTGGGGCGCATGTGGCCTTGGGGGAAGGGGGGTCTGGTAGAATGCAAGTCCCCCTACCCCCCCCCCCCATTTCCCCCCCAACCAACCTGGTCATTTTTTCATCTTTGTGTTCCTGCATGCAATAGCAGTAACGGATTCTCTGTATCACTCAAGAGAACGAAATTTCCCTTCCAATAAAAACCTTGTTTACAACAGTCGGTCTGGCAGCGTCATTTCTGCGTCCGCTTTCAGTCCCCACCAGAGGTGGTAT